AACAACAACAAAACACAAGAAAGAAAAGCTTGTAGTTAGTTCAGGGACTGTTTGTTGGCCTTTAGGGGTGCTTTCCAGTCCAGTCGATTGGGTCTGGCCCCAAAGTCCTCCTTCAGCATTCCCTGGGGACCTCGCCGCTCGGTTACCTTGCTGTTCTGTTGCACCCCCTTAGTGTTTTGCCTCGGTGTGGCGGGATCAGATCATACGCAATTCCCACACTGTGTCTCCGGTGTTGTCTCCTGTAGGGCTATAGGTCAGTTAGGGACGTCATGTGTCATAGTGACGCCGGCCATGTGGTCCTGTGGACTGGTTGCTCTAATCGGGAACATCGTCCTCGAGGCCTGGTGGTTCAGGATGTGCTCCACTCTCTCCTCCTCTCCCTTCATCTGCTCCCATGAGATATGTCCCTCTCCCAGAGCTGCAGATTCAATGCTGTCCTTTGAAACAAATTCTTCTGGGGGGAGGGGCAGGTGTCCACATTGTAGTTGGGATTAGGGCTGGCCCCTCAGACCTCTCCACTGGTTCCCTACTCCACGCTGGCATGTTGCATTCACATCTTGGAGCACTGGTTTGAAGTCTGGTCCCTCTTTCCCTGTGCACACACAGATATTTTAATTTTCTTTCCCTCTCCCTTTCCTTTCCCCCATTCCAATTAGAACATATTCATGGATCTATCTTTATATTTCCTCAGTCATCTCTTCTTTGCTGATGAGCCTGTCCAGTGAGATTTTTATTTGTTACCATCATTTTCTGCCTTAAAATCCCATGTAGCCCTTCTTTGTAGCCCTACCTTTCTTTCCCCAGACCGCCTGCCTTCTCACTTGTTTCAGAAGGGTTTCCCTGAATCGGTGGTTCAGTGGTAGGCTTCTCACTTCCCCAAAGTGTTTGCCCTTTCTTGTGGAGCAGCTTTAAAAGAGCTGCTGGTTGGCCAGATAATTACAACATTGGCATTTGTTGATTGTCTTTATCCATGAATGGAGATTTTTCTGGTACTGTGTATTCTGAATAATTTTGGATTCTTATCCTGGGCACTTTGAATGTGAGTCCCTGGGTTTTGTTTAAATTTGTGTTAGTCTGGGTAGACTGGAGGAACAAACCCATAGACACTCATATGTGTATAGAAAAGAGCTTTATATACTAGAGCAATAGTACATTAAGAAAACATCCTAGCCCAGTGCAGTCTAAGCCCCTAAGTTCAATATTAGCCCCTATGTCCAGTACAAGTCTATAAAAGTTCCTCTTCAGACTCACACAACACATGCGATGATGCCGAATACAGGAAGATCACAGACCAGTAGGTGAAAACTCTTGTGGATCCAGTGGTGGTAGAGGCATCTCAGAGCTGGCAGGGGTCTCCATGTGGTTCCTTCACTCCGAAACTCTTGACTGCCTCAGGGTAGCTTCATGTGGCTTCTCCTCAGAAATGTCTCGCAGGGAGTGAGCCAAGAGTGTCTCCCACCTCTTAGGAGGAAAAACAGCAGTCCCCAGAATCCTCAGAAGGCCATTCCCACCCAGAGGCCTCATTGGCTATATCCTGATTGACAGTCTGGCCTCCACCCCTACACTCTTAATCCTCAAATTGACACCAGATTATGTAACTATCACAAAATTCAATAGGGAATGTTGGTAATTTTTTTTTTGGGGGGGGGCAGGCAGTGGGCTCAGTTTAAGCCACAAGTTCTGACAAGTCTTCTGTGGGTTGTGGTTTTAATATCAGTTCTGTTCTCAAAGTTGTTATAGTATTATGTATATACCACTCAGACCTGGGTGGCGGTCTATTTTGTAGTTCAGTCCTCATAATTTTCAGTATACTCTTTAGCATTGTACCTATGCATGCTCATAATTGGGATAAGCCTAGGACTTCATAAACAGCTTTGTGATAAGTTTCTCCCCCTCTGTGATCTCCCCAGTACTTTCCAGAGCTTGAAAACTTTTCATAGACCCCCCTCTGTCTGCAACCACATCCACTTGGGTTTCAGTTCCCTTTTACTATTTGATCTCGGATTTTAAATATACAAACGCAATTTATCATAAGTTACACCACATTGTCTATACAAGTAGGAACCTCACAGCAGTATATTTCCATTTTTTTCACACTTTTGTGCTGTAGTTGTCATACATTTTACCTTTATGTGTTCTAAATTCCATGATCCATTGTTAATATTTTTGCTTTTCAAATACTCTTAATCATCTTTTAGTTTTTTACATGAGGGAAAAAACTCTATGCCTACATATTTACCATTTCCAGTATGCTTCATTCCATTGTACTGATCCAACTTTCCATCTAATTTTTCTTCGGTCCATGGGACATAATTTAACATTTCCTTCTGCCCTTGAATTATTTAAGCTTAGGTTTGTCTGCAAAGCCTTTACTTGGCTTCTCCCCCATTATTTTTATGGCTTGCAGTTGTTTACAAGTAGTATACATCTTTGTTACCTTTGTGTTTCTGTTTGTAATTTTATTTTTCCATGGACTTAATTTAAGTTCAGTGCTATAGAGTAGGAATCTAGGTCAGAGGTTTAATCCTTGATCAGCCATTTCAGCACTGTACTTTTCTTGATGTAAACTTCATGGATCCTTTCCCCAGATTACATTGACCAGCTAGTTCATTTGATTTCTTGATGTAATTCTCATCTGTAGAATGGGGCTTATTAATGTACTTGATAATATACTGGGCTGATGTAGAGTGAAAACAAACTGGTACAGATGGGAACTGGAAACACAGGGAATCTAGGACAGATGAACCCGTTCATGAGAGAGTGACAATACCGGGAGGGTGGAGGGAAGATAGGGTAGAAAGGGGGCACAGATTACAAGGATCTACATATAACTCCCTCCTTGGGGGATGGACAACAGAAAAGTGGGTGAAAGGGAGACACCGGACAGTGTAAGACATGACAAAATAATAATTTATAAATCACCAAGGGTTCATTAGGAAGGGAGGCGGGGAGGGAGGGGAGGGGGAAAGAAGGAGCTAATACCAAGGGCTCAAGTAGAAAGCAAATGTTTTGAGAATGATGGCAACAAATATACAAATGTGCTTGACACATGGATGGATGTATGGATTGTTATGAGTTGCATGAGCCCCCATAAAATGATTTTTTTTTTAAAAAGCAAAAACAAGAGAACGTCTGTTGGTCCTAAGAGGTTGAGCTGTTTTCAAAAAGAAGCTAACTTGTTATCGCTAAAATGTCTTTATTTCCTACATTTGTTTTCAGGCACCATACTGGACATACCTCTTATGTGCCCTGGGACTCTTTATCTACCAGTCACTGGATGCTATTGATGGGAAGCAAGCCAGAAGAACAAATTCTTGTTCTCCCTTAGGGGAGCTCTTTGACCATGGTTGTGACTCTCTTTCCACAGGTATATTAGTGCAGTATTTGCTGTAGGTTTTGCTTAACTGATAGCTTAACAAGTAAACTAACATGTTTTTGAATGGCTAGTTTTTTGACTTGGTGTATATTTGAGAGGACACCCTGGTAGCATAATACATTAAATATTAGGTACTACGCACAAAGTCAGTTCAAACTCACTAGCCACTCCTTGAGAGGAAGAAGGAGTTATCTGTTCCTGGAAAGATTTATATATAACCTTGAAACCCAAAGGTGCAGTTCTACTTTGTTCTGTTGGGTTGCTGTGAGTTGACTCAGCAGCAGTGGATTTTGCTTTGGTACATCTGGGAACAGTATTGCAGTGTGTTTCAAAAGGATAACCACAAATTTACTGTTTTAAAGTAGGCCTTACACGTTAATCCATGATTTTGTCCATTAAAACTGTTTCTAAACAATAAATGGCAAATATTAATACTTTTTCTATTTCTCACTCGGTCTTAAACCTGTCTTTCAGTGTTTATGGCCATTGGAGCTTCAATTGCTGTTCGTTTAGGAACTCATCCAGACTGGTTGTTTTTCTGCTCATTTATTGGAATGTTCATGTTTTACTGTGCTCATTGGCAAACGTATGTTTCCGGCGTGTTGAGGTTTGGAAAGTAAGTATGCTTTTTATTTGTAACTTTATATATGGAATTAAATTTAGTTTCATAATCTGTCATATTGTAGTTATCCACAAAAGGGAGACAAAGCTGAAATCAGTAATTTAAATGATCTCCTGATTTACCAAAACCATTGTTGCTGTTGTTAGGTTTCATTGAGTCAGTTCCAACCCATAGCGACTCTGTGTACAACTGAACGAAACACTGCCTGGTCCTGCACCATCATCATAATTATTCCAGTGCCTGTGCCTACTGATGCAGCCAGTGTGTCAATCCATCTCCTGAGGGCCTTTCTATAATCCCTTCCTTTCCTCTTTACCAAGCATGATGACCTTCTCCTGGGGCTGGTCTCTCCTGACAATATGTCTCTTAGGAATACTCAGGCCATTCTTCCAAGATAGACTGATTTGTCCTTTTAGCAGTCCAGGGTACTTTCAATCTTCCTCTCCAGCACCACAATTCAAACTCATCTATTCTTCTTCAGACTTCCTTCAGTGTCCAACTTTCACATGCATGAGGCACCCTGTGATGCCTCAAGGGGTCAGCTGTTTAAAATACTAGCTCCCTATGGCAGATAGCCTAAGCAGTATACTTTCCATTTTCCAAATTAAAAATATCACTGAAGATTGAGTAGGGCAGATTGATGGCTCAGCTTAACATCCAAATCCAAAGGAGGGAATGGTATCAATGCTGAAATTATGAACACCTCATTGCAGAAGGATATGGATGACATCTGAAGCCCAAAATCCATTTTCAGGGTTAACACATAGATTAAGCCCCAGTGAATCTGCCCCGATCATAGTCGAGGTATGAATAACACTGCTTGCTATCAAGCAGCATTGTAAAATTGATAATGGTAGATGTTGGGTTAAAATGTAGTAACACCTTATCATTTGATCTTCTTCTTGACCCATTTTAAAGTTGTTTCACAGTTTTTAGTATTTCCTGCTTTGTTTTCAGTTAAGGTGTTTCTGTTTTGTTTGCCGTTGTTGGGTTCTTGGGTTTGTTTTCTTGTTTTTATTTTGTATGATTTTCTGTCGATGAAATCCAGGGTAGGTAAAGCTGCAGAGACAGTCACTGGATTATTAGCTACCTAGGAGCATGACAGGACATGTTGGGAGCAAATGGCGACCTAACTGTGATGAGTGCGAGAGTGAAGAGTGTTCTGAAATTGATTGTGACGGTGATTGTGCAGGTCTTCTTGGTGTGACTACACTGTTGAATTGTGTATGTGAATTATATGCCATTTAAACTATTTTAAGTGAACTTTTAAAAAATTAGCTAAATATATTACTAGGGGTCATTAGCATAAAGATAGTAGTTTTAAGTATAGATAAAATGTTCACAGACTATACGAGGAAAGGGAATGTGGAGAGTAGAAGCAAGTAAGATATGGAAAAAGCCATTTAGGAAAAATGCTAAAGAGCTTCCAGTAAGGTAGGAGAACCAGTAGAGAACCTGAAATGAAAATGCAGCAAAGCAAAGCAGTTCAAGAAGGATGTGATCAACATGTTAAATATGACAGAAAGTTATATGTGAACCAGTCATGGACATGTATGTATCCCTTAGGCTTGAGAAATTCTGAGTCATAGAATCTGTGGTATGAACAATGCATATGTGAAGCCAAGGTGTACCTTAAATTATTATAGTGGAACAATTAGGAAAAATTAAAAAGGGGAAATAACAAATATAGATCATTTTTCGGTTAATTTATGGACAGTGAAGCGAACAGTGCTGGTAGCATATAGCTAGAAGGGTTGCAGACTTGAGGGATCAATGTTGGGTAGTGGGTTCTTTGTGAGAAATATAGTATGTTTATATAGTAGCGGAGAGGTGTCTATGGAGGCCAAAAAATTGTCATAACTCATTAAAGGAAGATTGTTAAACTTTTTCATACTTTTCAGGGAAAATACCTCATGATTGCTGAAGACTTTTCTAAGACTGTAGTTTTTAAAATTGTTTCATTACAAGAGTAACATGATTGTTTAAATTAACTCTCAGCCTTACATAAGGAAAAAGCAAAAGTCTTCTGTTTTTTCCGTGATAGCTATAATTAGCCATTTTTTGTGCTGTACATTTCCCCCTGTGCATATTCCCCTGTGCTAATACCTATATTTTGTTGTATCCTTTTTCACTTACCAGTGTAATCAGATAATAGAGTAATCAATCACTTAATGATTGAACTAGAGGTGAAAATAAATGAAGTCTATAGAGAGTTCTGGCAGGAGCTCTGGTGGTGTACTGTTTACGAGTTGGGCTGTGATCCGAATGGTTAGCAGTTCAAAACTACCAGCTGCTCTGATGGAGAAAACAGGCTACTTCCACAAATAGTTAAGTCTCAAAAAAAACCTGTTAAGTCTTGAAAATTCACAGGAGCAGCTCCACCTCGTCCTATAGGGTCACTGTGAGTCGACATCAATTCGTTGGTAGTAAGACCGAGTTCTACATGTCTGGTCTTTACTAGACAATTTAACTAGCCTCCATATTCAGGAATTTGGTTTATTTTAAATTTTATGTCCTTCCTCTTCAGAGTGGATGTAACTGAAATTCAGGTAGCTTTAATAATCATCTTTGTGTTGTCTACATTTGGAGGAGCAACAATGTGGGACTATACGGTAAGTCTGACTACCTATATATAGTTTGAGTACTTTATAAATATTTTGAGGAAGTATTGCTAATTTTTCTTTTAAATCCTTGCATGGTGTTAATATTCATCTTACTTCTTACCTTTTTCATCTTTTCTTTTCATTTTATAATTGTTATCCTATATACCATACTATGGCATTTTACTCAATACATGAATATATTACCAAGTGGAAGGAAAAGGACCCTATTTATCTAATATAAAATTAAATACACTAGTTGAACTACCTTTTCAAGGCCAAAATTTGTCTCATGAAGTAGTTTAATTAATTTTAAAGATAAATAAATAAACCCAGTAAGGTATTTTACATTTGAAATTTATCCTTTAACACCAGGAAAGTTTTTAATTTGCTTCTTTTACAAACTATTAGGCAATAAAGAGATTCTGATACTAAGGAATGTATTATTTTCTGCTTGATTGGCGACCTCAGTATTTTGATAAAAACTTGGTTCAGATGAGGTCACAGTCATAGGTTCAAGCTTTGAATAGGAAGAAAATTTATTTAAATTATGTTACTATAACTTAAATCCACAACACTTAACTAAGTTAACTTCATGCTCATAAAATGGAGAATAACGAGGGAGGAGAAAAATGAGGATCTCACACCAAGGGCTCAAGTAGAAAGCAAATGTTTTGAAAATGATGGTGGCAACAAATGTGCAAATGTGCTGGACACAATGGAAGTATGTATGGATCGTGAGAAGCATTGTATGAGCCCCCAGTAAAATGATTTTTAAAAATTGAGAATAACATTATCAAGAACCAAAAAGTACTATGTACTCAATACGTATATATCTAGATATGTTCCCATCACTGTTTCATCTGATCCTTAGAACAAGCCTATAATTATTCTGTTTTACAAAGAAAATAAAACTTGGAATGGTTGTCATTTGTCTAGTGATACATAGCTAGCAAGTATTTGAGCTAAAAATTAAGTGGATTGATTCTAGACTGTTTTAATTACTAAGTTGTATAGTGCCAATAAAATGTAATAAAAGATTTCTCTGGACATTCATATTAGGACAACCAGTTGCAATTCACTTAAATTGGCTCAGAAATATACTTGGAACATATAATTAGATACACATTCCCCATGAGGCATTCCTTTACCTTCTTATCATGTAGAAATAAATGGACTCAAGAAGATTCTATAATAAGGGGGACTTCAAAAAGTTCATAGAAAACAGATACTAGGGGAAAAAATATGCATGAACTTAAAAAACTTTTTGCACCAAAATAAGCTCAAACTAACTTGTAACATGTCTGAACAGGATCTAGTTTGAAACACTAAGAAAGGTAAGACATGAGTTTGAAAAGATCCCCTTTCCGAGTGATGTGAATTCTGCTAAAATTGAAGCAAGAGCTAGTATAAAATTTAAGGTGATGATGGTTAGAAGAATGGTGAAATCACTGATGCTTTATCAAAAGTTTATGGGGACAGTACCCCAAATAAATTAGTTTACAAGTGGATAATTCATTTTAAGAAAGGACAAGACAAATGTTAAAGACAAAGCTCAGTGGAGGACCATCTACATCAATTTTCAAGAAAAAAATTACCTTGTTTGAGCCTTAATTGAAGAGGACCAAGAATTAGCAGCAGAAACAATAGCCAACACCACTGAAATCTCTATTGGTTCAGCTTACAAAATTCTGACTGAAAAATTACAAGTTGAACAAACTTTTTGCTCAAAGGAAATTTTAAACAAGTGGGAACAAGATCCTGAAAGCAGTTCTTGGGAGAACTGTAGCAGATGAAGCATGATTTTATCAATACAATTCTGTAGATCAATGTTTTCCACCACAGGCAATACGAAAGATAACCTACACTTTATCCTGGATTATGGATTTTTAATTGCAGGGAGGGGGAGTAATTTTTTTTTCTGAAAGGGGAGTGGTAAACCAATTAAATTTGGAAACCCAAGCTGTAGACAAAGCACAAAGCAATGGCTACCAAGAGGAGAAATAGTCTAATCAAAGCAAAAGCAAGCTGGTCAAGACGCAGGCATCCTCAAACTATGGCCCGCGGGCCACATGTGGCCCGCTGAGGACATTTATCCATCCCCCCGGGTGTTTTTGCCCCCTTTGTTTTTTTAATTCAAAATAAGATATGTGCAGTGTGCATAGGAATTTGTTCATAGTTTTTTTTAAAACTATAGTCCGCCCTCCAACAGGTCTAAGGGACAGTGAACTGGCCCCGTTTAAAAAGTTTGAGGACCCCTGGTCAAGAGTAAAGGTAAGAGTAAATGACACCAGCTTGTTAGATGCTCAAGGCATTTTGCTTGTTGATTTTCTGATGGGCCAAAGTACAATAAAAATATTACTATAGGCTCTTTGCAGCGGAAGGCGCTTAGGTGCACTCTGGGAGCTGAGAGGACTTCCTACCCTGAAGACTTGGCGGCCATGGTTGACAGCATGCTGGTGTCCTCCTATCTGGGCTGGGGCAATGAGAGCTATGCCTTCAGCTATGGACATGGCACAGTGCTTCCGGCAGCACACGGACACAGACAGACAGGAGCCCATGGTCACCTGGATCTTGCGAGTGTACGACCAGCGGGGCCAGGTCCTGTCCCTGACCTCAGCAGAGATGGCTACCCTGGGGTACCTGACCAGTAACAGCCTCTTCAACTATTACCTGCGGACCCTGCAGGGCAGCTGCCAGCCACTGCTCACCTGGCTGCTAAGAGCCTGGCGCAAGCGCTGGCCTGTTCTCTCAGACTTCCGGGCCAGTGAGATGGACCTCCAGCCTTGGGCCACGCTGGAGGGGGGCATACAGCTAGTGCGCGAGCTTGGCATGCTCAGCTGGATCTATCAGGACCCACCCTCTGCTCCATACCCTGAGGACGTGGCCCTCACCCTTGACCTGCGGAGGCTCCTGCTGACCATGGCCCCAGAGGAGCTGCGGCCTACACTGCTGGCCATGCTGGCAGCAAAAGGCCAGACAGTGATGAAGGCAATGGAGGCGCTCCAGACCTGTGTTGAGGTGGACCTGCTAGCGCGCAGGAGCCAGCCTCACTGCTGCCAAGGCCTGCTGGGTCCCAGGCCCACTCTCAAGGAGCTCATTGGCTGGCTGCTGGGCCAGGGCATTCCCCGAGAGCAGGTTGAGAAGCAGCCCACCCGAGTGCTCCTGGAGAGGTACCTCAGGGAGGCCAGGCTCATTGGAGGCCAGCCTGCCCAAGGGCCACCTCAGAAGCAGTTCCTGCCTTTGACCTATGGGGAGGAGCCACCCAAGAGCACCAATTAAATCCCACCCACCCAGGTACTCAGGCTACCCAGCTCTTGCCCTGCTGATGGCATGCCTGTGAAGGGAAGTAGATGAGCAGGAGATGGAACTAAAGGGGTGGAGGATACACCCTCGCAGCCCTCACGTATGTCCTCAACCCTACCACTGGGCGTCACTTTGAGGGCAGCAAGCTTTGAGAGGTGGGACGTGGGGGTAATTCACTTTTGGCCAGTGTGACACTGCTCTCCTTTAGGCCAAGTGGAGCCACTCGTGGAGTACTTGTTATTAAAATAAAAACTAAGCACCTTAAGCACTTTCGTCTCTACTGTCCCCTGTGCCAACATAATGTCCCCCAGGGGGACTTGAACCCCAGTGCCTTTTCCTTGGCACCAGAGGCATGTGTAGAAGTGACTGTAATGCCATCCTTGGATGTTGGGGGTCAGCTCAACGGCCACCCTGTCATGTTCATGTTTTGTATAATAAAGGCTTGTGCCTCTGCTCCTTGGGGGGAAAAAATATATTACTATAAAGGGATTTTGAGGAAGTTAGTCCACAATTTAACAAAAAATATCCTGGAAAGCATCACCATGACAAAACTCCTACTCATTCCTATCAAACAAGGGCGTTTTTTTGGTTGTTTTTTTCAATTATTTTATTGGGGGCTTGTACAATTCTTATCACAATACATACATACATACATTCATTGTGTCAAGCACATACGTACATGTTACCCTCATCATTCTCAAAACATTTGCCTTCTACTTTAGCTCTTAATATCAGTTGCTCATTTCCCCCTTCCCTCCCCCATGAACCCTTCATAATTCATAAATTATTGTAGTTTTGTCATAAGTTACACTGTCCGACATCTCCCTCTGCCCTCCTCTCTGCTGTCCATCCCCCAGGGAGGAGGCAATACTTAGATTCTTGTAATCGGTCCCCCTTTTTACCCCACATTCCCTTTACCCTCCAGGCACCGCCCTTCTCACCACTGGTCCTGAAGGAGTCATCTATTCGGATTACAAGGGCAGTTTTGTGAGAGTTATGATGGAATAAGCATCTAACTCCCTTACAGACCTATTTGACTGTTTTTTTGTTTCCCCATCTTAAAACAGTCTTTAAAGGACACCCATATTTCCTCAGTTAATAATGTAAAAAAGACTTCATTGCCATGGTTAAAATTCTTCTTTTAGGATGGACTAAATGGCTGGTGAAGAGTTCTAGTGGTTGCATGTTGGGCAGTGAACCATAAGGTCCAAAGTTCAAAAGTACCAGCTGCTCCCAGGGAGAAAGATGTGACTTTCTACTCCTATAAACAGTTACAGTCTTGTAAATTCACAAGGGCAGTTCTACCCTGTTCTATAGAGTCGATAATGAGTTGGCATCAACTCAATGGCAGTGAGTTTTGAGTTTTTGATGGCTGGTATCATCACTCAAAGTATCTTAAACTTGATGGAGCCCTTGATAAGAAAAAGGTTTTTGTTTTTTTTTTCCATTTCATTTTTAACCCAAAAACTTTTTGAAGTTTCCTTGTATATCAAAGGAATTACTTATGTGGTCCTGGTAGATACACAACAGAAAGTGACCTAAAAGCATTTAGACAAGTCTGAACAGTAAATCAAATATGATTGTCTTAAATTTAGAATTCTACTCTAATTATAAAGGTATAAACACTAGAGAAGGATTCAATTTAATCTTAAAGAGTATTTCCACTGAACTCTTGATAAAGCACACCTGTTTATTCTCACCAACAAATCCTTATTTTCAACATAAAATTGTTAACCTGTAGACTCCATACATTTTGGTATAATATCTCAAAGTCTAATTTCAAAACACAGTAGCATATAGCTTCTGACAATTTACTGCTGTTACTTTGTTTTAAATCCTTTGCTGCCTTTGGGAGTTTTCTTGAACAACAAGTGACCAAAAGGTAAATATATTGGTAGGGAGGTAATCCTGAATATTAACTACACAAAATTTTTGCATGCAAGCACATTTTTTAATTTATCACTTTTACGATGCAGGTGATCGTGTCTGCCTTTTCCATGATTCTGCCTCTTTGAGGCTATTAAAGTCATGTACCTACCCATTTTCATGTTTTTTCAGTCAAATGAAGTCTTATAAAGTTTTTAATAATTATGAAAATATTCTTAGTATTTAATGAAGTTATTGGATTAATTTTTCACTTAACGAATAACACCATTTCAAGAAATATTACTTCAGCCTAAATTCCAGAGGCTTAAAGTTTAGTTACAAGAGAATGCTAGCTCATTTTACAGGGCCATTACTACTTTGTAGGAATAGAAAGTCTGTCTTCATAATGATTTCTTTCTTTCCTTTATTTCTAAAGATACCCATTTTGGAAATTAAATGGAAGATCTTTCCAGTTCTTGGAGTAGTGGGTGGAGCAATATTTTCCTGTTCCAATTATTTCCATGTTATCCTCCATGGTGGTGTTGGCAAGAATGGATCCACAATAGCAGTAAGGCATTAATTTTATCATCATATAGTACTAGTTTTATGGTAACTTTCCTTAAGAGTACAGATAGTAAAAATAAGCTAAAGTTCAAGAATGGGGATGTTAAATATCTTTAAACTTTTATTTTAGGAACATAGTATAAAAGCAAGGAACCTGGTAATGCAACAATGAAGCACTTGGTTGCTAACTAGAAAGCTGGGAGTTAGAACCCACCTCTTTGGGAAAGACAGACTTGGTATTTGCAACTATAAAAAACAGCCTAGAAAACCCTATGGGATAGCTCTACTTTCTGCCACGTGGGATTGCGGAGTCAAAATCACCTCAACAGCACCTAACAACATTATAAAAGCATTTTTAAAAGTTTGGACTGCTGATAATCCAATTAGTTATCCACTGTTCATTATTGAGTTGTAAGTAATTAAGACTTGCCATTTGTTTTCTTGTGTTTTGTGCTTTGAGCGTAATAGAAGAAAAGAGGTGTGCTAGAGACTGAATTCCTGACTAAATGGCAGAAAAGCTGCCCAAAATCAGTGATTTCACACAAGGAGCAATGTGTTTGCAAGCACATTTTACTGAAAAATAATTAAAGATCTACCCAGATATTTTTAAAAGGTAAAATGAATATTCCTTGTGTTTTTTATACTTTGCTAAAATTTCAGTACTTAAATGGGATAGTCAGCATTCTTATCAAGTTTTTAAAACACAAACACATCATTTTTATTATACCTAACGCCTATTATCAGCCACAAGGTAGAACATTGGAAGACAGTATTTATTCTGGGTCAAAAAATTATTAATCTGTCTTTAAATTTTAGTTTATTTAAAGCTTCAATGTAGTAAAACTTTGTATAGAATAACTCATTGTTAGTTTGGGCTGGTTATTAGTTTAAAGGAATTGTGTTTATGTAAAACTAGAATTAAGCATTTGTGGCACTATGCAATCCTTGAGTTCTGTGGAAGTTTGAAAAGCTCAGTTCTTAAGTACATGGGTACAGATAAGAGCTGGAAACACAGGGAATCCAAGACATATAAACCCCTCAGGACCCATATGGAG